GAGATGACCAATGCGTTTATTGCTATTGATTAGGTTTAATAATACTGGCAAATCAGTGGGGGCATACAAGATTTAGAAAGAAAACGAACACACCTAGAAGTCACATTTGAAACACATGTAACTTTAAATCCATATAAACTTACCCAGTCATTGTAAAAGTACTTAGGATATAAGCATAGATTCTACTAATTGCATACGCTCTCTTCTTTGACGTTGAAGGTTATACAGAATTATCCATCCAGGTATTTATTTTTCAAATAAATAAAGTAATAAACCTTTGCTATCGGCAGTGCAAGATACGCTTATAAAAGCATCCACATGAGATGCAAATGGACATGCATCAGTCTGGTACAACCAAGGATGTTCCCACATGCTAGATAAGAATGTAGGTTTCAGTCGCTGAGATCCAGCCACCCACAAAGCAAACATATAGGTGTGTGCTTAGGAGAACATTTTCTGGCCTGCCTCGCCCAGCTCCCGGCTGATTCATCATCTACCCTGGGGTTACATCTACCCAGTGTTGGTGTGCATTATCAGACAGGAGCTATGATATTGGTTAAGGTGGCAGTTCTTAGGCCTGAGGCAATGGATTAACACAACGATTATTTGAAACGGGTAATAAAATCAAAAATCAGACTAATCAACTGAGATATTTAGGACGCAATTTATAAACTTGGAAAGTGCGTGAGGTAAATGGTGTAAAGGCTTTTGTACTCGCCGCATTTGTCCGAGTTTAGTGATTGCGGCTGACACAGTGACTTTAAGTTTGATTAGTCGTCAAGCTTCCTTGCCGTCAAGGCGCGGTCCAGCCAAACATATGTATCGCCTGATTGTTGGTGGACCACTAGCACCAAACACATCATCAAGACTAAAGTTGGTAGGGTGCGAATGAGACCAAAATCCTCGACGGAACCGTTGATGAGTTATGGACAGTCAACAGAAAGTCTAGAAGTTGTCTTCTATTCAGGTAATTCTGGTCTAATGCACTGGCGCAATCGATGATGTTGCGACCAGCGCGAACTCAGCGAAAGGTATATCATGGTTTAAACCTTGTCATATCAGTGACATCCTACGGTCAGACAGTTTTGAGGCTTCTTTCTGTCGTGGACCTATTCCTCAAAATCTTATAGCAAACTAACCGAATTTGACTTAATAGACACAAATTCAGCAGCTGTATAGATAATCGCTAAGAACAGAAATGGTTCCATCTTCTCAGCACTCTCTTCATCTGCAAGTAAAGAAAAATTTTGCTTGAAAATCAGGCATATAATACCCCACTTTCCGGGCATATATGCGAACATTATCCTATATGAAAGCAGACACGGAGAGCGCTCCATCACAGGTTTTATCCTCACTATCGGACATACCATACAGTAGGTGCAGTCCCTTCTCCAAATGATAGTTGCACATCTGTTTTCACAAGTTAGTTGGCCAGTTTCTACTTAGTGGGTAAAGATTGATGTACCCTGCTTTTGAGTCGACCAGCGTGGTCCTGCCGCTAACAACCCTCTGCGTTGTCAACAAGATTACAGCTCCCTTTAACTTGTGTGAACGCTTCAAGTAAACGACGTACAGTGCATCGGTCATGTCAAAACCGAATAGAAGTCGGGACAAATGCCTATTGTTTACACCTGCCTACAAACCTCCAATATACCAACTTACTACTACTACTACTATATTCTACTACTACTACTACTACCACTACTACTACTACTACTACTACTACTATATTCCGCAACCTGAGATAGTAAGAAAAATCAGGAAATAATTTTGAAAAGGTGAAAGCTTGTTACTACTACCGCACCGATGCAGCCTTTCACAATTCACCACTTTCCTTCAACTCTTTTTAGTGGGAGCGGAATGGTTCCGCAACCATCCCCACTACTGAGATACCGGGCTTATCTTCTACGTGTTCTGTCGTGCATCCACATAACACGACAGGCTTATTACAGCGAACTCCAAACTTGGACTTAAGTCCTTAATCATGTGCTTCCATCTAGGATTGACAAGTGCACAAACGCAGTACAGTGCTCTCACACCAGTAAATGCGACTTATAGACTGGTTTCCATCTTTCTTATTTGATCTTTGTGGCTGTCACCTTTAAGTCCCAATTCTCTGAGGGGCCCGAGAAAAGCCTTTTCGTGTACAACACATGTTCACTCGCTCGAACTAATGCCAGATCTGTAAACAACAAGTTGCATTTTTATGCAGGTTTTCTCAGTTAAGCACCTCACATGTAATCTACATCAAACTAGTAGACGACCAAATAGCTCTGTAACGTGATCTCGATAGGGCTTACAAGTGGTCGACCCAGTAGATGCTTGCGTTTAACCTTGACAAGTGCAAAATTATGTGCGAAAGTCACCAGAGCACCTACCAATATCGACTGGGAGGACACATTCTGCAGTGTGCTTCTCATGCAAGTGACCTTGGGGTGCTTATGCAGGACGATCTTCTATTCTCAATGCAGTCAGAGATCACAGTGAAAATAGCCAGCCAACAGTCTGCCTATTGCAGAGGAATTTTGGTCAGTTTAATCCTATCAGCTTCCCTAAAGTACCAAGCGCTTTTGTGAGGCTATGTGTGGAATACGCCCTTCACGTTTGGCATTCATGGCTAAACATGACCTCATTGCTCTTGAGAAGCCACACAAACAATTGTTAATGGATTGATCCACCCCTTTACCAGTTGTTATTAAAGACTCCAGGAGATTTTAACGAACAACATCGCCTTCTGCAAGCTGATCTCATATTGGTGTATCAGATCCTCAAAAATCCTAACCACTGATGTCGGCCGTTATTGAAACTCAGTCACAACACCACACTGAGGCCATTGTGTGAAGTTGGCGACACAGTATGACTAGTTGGAATTATGTCGGAACATGTTCTCCGCTTCTCTTCATTTATACTGCCATCACAAAAATCCTTCATTGCATCAAACACTCAAAAGTGGTGCGGATTAAAAAGGATGAGGTTAAGTAATTACGGATGACAAGTGAAGGAAAGAAAGTGTACAAATTACTCCGTCGTAGATATACCAACGGGGCTTCTTAGATCATGGGACTGATTGATGAGGCAGATCATCACTTTATTAGCGCACTCGCCATGCGCGAGGGTCTTAGTTCCCAGTTTGTTGCTTCCATGACTTCTTGTCGGTAACCTATAAAGACAAGCGTCCTATAAAATGCCGTGATTTCTCTTTCGAACTATCTTTGAAATCCTTCGAAACTACTTTCAACCTCCATTCTGATGGTATCCTCCCATCCACCATAAAATTAGTGGCACCTGACGTACCACTGCTTTTGCTAAACAGGTTCACCTTGTATCCAGAATATGGCCATTCTTCAGGTTAGTGGAAAAATTCCTCTATTATCCCCTATCATAGGGGTCCAACTAAATAGAAAGTCACTAATAACTAATCCAACACATTACCGCAAAAGCTAAACTGTTCGGAAAAGTAACTATATTAGATGTGAGGACTATTTTTCTACTCACTTGGACAGCTTAGCAATTCCGAAAATTGATGCTTCAACAAACTTTCCTGTTCGCGAGCTCAATTGCATTACCTGGATTACATCACAGTTACATTTTTATTCGGAGAATGCAAAAGTCATTTATCTGGGTGTCTCACAAGTGGCTCCCGGATGCAATGACCTGGATGAAGTATGGGCGCTTAAAAACAATTATTTTAAGTTTAAGGTTGCCCTGAACATACAAGGAACTTCCACCATTCAAGCTGCATCTCAAGCATCTCTGGTTGCACGCACTCTTAGCCATATCTATGCGCATCGGTTATTGTTAATGACACTGGGGGTAGGATGCGAAATAAATGCACCCAGCAGATTTCATCTTTTTCGCTCTTTTCAGTGATAAATATTGCCTATAAGTTTCGACGAGATGAAATCCAGAGCACAATGTTGCTCATTCAAGAATACATGGAATTATTATGGAAGTGACGTGACACATGGCTGAAGAAACGTTCAGCTAATAAATCCGTCATCATATCCGAACGATTTTTGGTCAACGAGACATTAATTAAAAGCAGTAATAAACGCAACTGTGTAAAGCAGTCTTACTGTGAACCAGTATACACTGCCCTTCAAAGTTTAACTTTTCAGAGCAAGACAAATATGAATTAGGACAGGTCAAACGATCTAAGCATAACATATGTCACAAAATTCGTGTAGTTCCTGTCCAAATCTAAAGTTAAATATACCCATCCTTCCCATCCTCGTGTACTGCACAATCATTTATGGGAACGTACCTAGGGACGTCAATAAAGCCTTAAACTACCTTCAACTTTCACTCACTGAGTGTTTGTCCAGTAAAGCGTCCACTCCGCGCCATCAGGAGTATTGCCAATAGCATCACCTCGAGATTTCTTGATTACGACCACCGGAAAACCTTAAAACTCATTTCCCATTGTAGAAACCAATCTGCCTGCATTAGCAAATGAACAAGTTTATTCGAAGGCTTTACAACAAGACCTACGAACTAGTTGTGCGGAGAATCAGGAAGGCTATTCCATCTAACCTCTTCAGTGTCAGACACCCTGTTATGTGGAATGGCTTAGCAACCAAAATCAGGTATAATGTAACTTAAAAACCATTTCGAATTAAACTTGAAATTCTCCTAGACTATGAATAGATAAACTTCGTGCATAATTTAGGAAGATTGACAAGTGAAATATTCTAAATGAGAGGAGAAAATTATAGCCAACAATAAAAATTTTTCACAAAACAGCATCAAAGAAGTCAAGTATTTCACAATAACTTAATAACACGAGCGCTACTAAAGGTGTATCACACTGAAGCGTGAGCACGACCATACCTGCGCTAATGATCTGTCCCCACTACAGGAGTAACCTGTCGCACATCCGAAAATATATGCATTATTACTTTGTTATTATATTATGCAAAATTAATGTTTACACTGCCTAACTTATCACTTTATCTGATCAGATTACGTAAATCCTTACGATGGTGATCTATCATTTGCAGGATTAAAGGACCCCTTTCAAGTTCTACCTAACATTCACTATGCAAGTAAGTTACCTTACACTTTCGATTCCAGTATACCTACCATCACTTTATGCTTGAACGCAATGTCATTTGAAATGATGCATGCAATGTTCGGCGTTTAATGTTAACAACTGGTTTATAGAAAATTCGAACACAACATTGTCTGAGATAAACTTGACGGTATTCGGTCAGGCTGTGATAGGCCCCCGAATTTCGTCAAATATAACGCGACACGTAAACACGTTTCCGAGCAGTACACAGTCCACGTGGCTCGGAGGCGGTTATTGCTCCCATAAAGGTCGTTTTCCCTGAGAGCTGTATCCATACGGTCACATAGCAAGGATACAATTGTCGAGGCGATCATAGTAACTAAGCTTGCGATAGTCGCCACACGGATCTAACTAGTGATGTGTTACTTAAGAAATCCACTTAGAGTGAAATCTTTCTAGTGAAGTAACACCATTGAGACAGTCTGCATTCCCGTGATGTCACACGGCTCTAGTTACATCGGCGTTGGGTGATATTCCATGCAGCCATGAGGTAAAGCATAAATATGTGCCAACGATTTCAGCGGTTTCATCCACAAACTCGGTTAGATCAATGAAATTCTGTTCCGTGTCTGTCCAGATAATCCTGGCTGCGTACTCAACCCACGTGAACTACAAGTGGTTATGAAGACTTTTGATAATAGATCTAATTGTTCCGGATGGCTCTTCTGTAGGTAAGAAATCAGGCTTTGCATTTTGCTTGACAAAAATATCAGAGATATCAAGTTTAACCTTCATCTGCAGGTCCCACAAATTATATTCAAATAATTGTATTATCTGTTCAGCCCTCTAAAATTTGACGGAAGAACTAATTTCATCGCAAGCTTGAAATTCGTCAACACAAACATCTCTTGCAGACATGATTACACTAGTTAACCTAAGTAGCAAAGGAATTACGCTAAATCGCACTACGTCGCACGCAAAGTATGTGAATGTTGCTACTTCGAGCTGTAAATTTCTGCTATACATGCGGTTTTGGCAGATAATGGTTAGGACAGAAGAATTTGTAATATAGTCATGCAACCGTGGTTCTAAAGGGCAGAATACTATACAAGATAGGACTCACGACTAGGTTTGTAACCCGATATCGGCGGTCAGAAACAGATAACCGTAACAGTAACAAGGTAGTTGTCCCACTGAGGCCAATCTTATGCATGAGCAGCTCGCCTCAACTCAAGCTGATGACAGTACTGGAGCCAGTTAGGATGTCAATAGTTAAGCACAGCTTAAATGTCATGTTCAAACTAGTGGAACTGTTGGATGGTATCCAGCTAAGTGAAAAGTTTATGGCTAGCATCAATATAGTCTCACTATTCACTAACGTACCGCTGAAAGATACTATGCAGACCATAGCCCATCCCCACACACGCGTAAGGTGCGTGCTCCTGGCTCATTTGGATTATTCCTCTCTATCCTCTCTCCATCTTCTCGCAGTGTTGTAAATGTATACTCATTCGAACAGGACTTACTAGCCCTACACAATGATCCATCATACGTAGAAATATCTTCTACGATTAGTGGCTGCGCCATCACTAACCGTTTTCATTGACATCCGTGATTAAACGCAAGCGTTTAACTCAATCACATTGAGCCGATTGCCTTTCTGTGTGACATCATTCGATACAGAATTCTCGAGGCAGACCGAAAAGCCTAAGCTTATTACAATCCAGTGTTTCTCGACACGCATGTGAAAGAATTTGTGATCTGTCAATCTGTGTTCAACGCTCTGTTCAGATTCAGGTAGCAGGTTCCAGTCACTCGCCATTCCTTGTGACCTTGTCAGCCAGTGCGCCTGCATAACCCGTCACACGGACCGCGCGACCACGCTGACCGCTCATTTGATCTTGTAACCACCACGCTCGCCTGACCGATGTGCGCCGCTCTCAAGCTGCAAAATTACAGAAAGCTAACCAACCCACTGAGTCATGTAACGACACTAAATTAAATGGCAGAAATGCGAAACCGAAGAGGCACAAGGCGAAAAGCATTTGCGGGTTAGGAGAATGTCATCGAGTAGTACATATCAGTCTGGCTTACTCGCACTGTTTGGGATGGTGTCATACGAAATGCAGATGTGTCCCAACAACACGTACGGGAGCGAAATAGCACTTAAGGTGCATTTTGGTTCTGTACTGCATGTTCCGCCATCCTCTTCACTAAGCCCTTGCTTATCGTAGCTAAGAAAAGCGACCAGTTAACCGCAGAGGCAGAGCAGAGGATAAAAGATAAGATCAGTTCAATGGAAGCGAATATGCACCACAGAAGCGTAGCGGCTTCTAAGCAACGGAATGCTGAACAGTCTGCTTCACCTGAATCGCAATCGGCAACTTCTCCATCTCCGTTGTCTGCAACTTTGGTAGAATGCCGGGCAAAACGGACCGCACCTACGAGATACAAACAATACTCACGGCAACAAAAATCAGGCAGCACTCAAAACGTCTGGTTAAGCAAATTCCACTAGACCTACTATCTAGCACTAACAAGGATGAAGCAGCCGAATACCAACCCTCGGTATCGGTAGCTCAAATAACTCGTGTCGAGATTAAGCCTCCCAGAACATCAGTGACCTATGCAGAGATTGCTGCGAAATTCCACCAAGAGACCGCCATTGCGGCCTCTTCTGTTGTAGACACCGTTAACGCGGATAGAGGGACAAATAGCAAACAATCAACACTTGTCAGCAGTTCAGGACAGAAGAGTACCATACCTTGTAGATCAACAAAAAGTGATCCGACAACAGTGCCCAGACTGTTGTATGCTCAAATGTCGCTGTATCTACCGCCATCACAATGCGGGATAAGTTATAAAATGACCAAGACCAATGGAACTCATTGTGCATGCAGACGAGTATCAAAGCCAGGTCCATAAACTTATTACGAATTACTCGTCATCCGAACTCGGCACAATTTGGCGAACCCAGACTTATGCGAGTAACACTAGAATCCTACACCGACGTAGAAAACGTTTTGCTCTCAGCAAGCGCGTTAAAACACGGATCCTGTCGAATATGCATCTATCCTGATGTCCCTTGGAGCGCGCTACAATCAAAAAGAAACACCGAAGAGGAACACAGCAAAGAAGACCGCCTAATCACAATCTTCATACGTGGCATGCCAGAGCATCCTTCTAACTGTGTTCAAGCGATCGGAAAGCACGATTTAGAACGGTGGCGGTTCATTCTTTGTACAATTTCGCTGAATAATATTGTGACACTATCGCTCACCAGGATACCTCTCTCACCAAATTATAGAGGAGACGGCCCTAAATCTTGTGGTTCAGTCAGAGCAACAAGCAAATGATGTTTTAGATCGATGGCGGAGAAATCGGAAACATCTTCCTTCTGAAATTCGGCTTGAGGTCGCAAAAGCTCTGCACTGCTCAAACATTAATGCAATTGAGGCAGCAAAGCATACCGATAAAAGTACGGAAGCGTAACTTGACTTCTGGTTTAATTGATTCTGACGTAGGTTTAAACGAATGTTGGGACGCACCTTCGCTGAATAAGGTTGCAAACGAGGTATCATTATCCTATAAAAAAACGAGTAACTACCGTCCTCCCATCGGTCGACATTCTCCCACACGTGACCGCTTCACCCCTCTGTGGGATCCTAAAGACAGAGAAACAGGGTCTTTCCAATAAACTGGCCAAACTGAAAGATCACCAAGCTTCCGGGTCATGTGATGTCATTGGTATCACCGAGACATGGTTGCACACGGGAATGACAGACGCTGAAGTGTCGCTACCGGGCATGTCGCTGATCCGGAACGACAGGCTCACAAAAGGAGGAGGGGTTATCCTGTATTACCGAAACGACTTACAGTGTGAAGCCGTGGAGGATTCAGACTCGCAGTTCCCTGACTCTCATGGTTGACGGTTGCAGTTGAAAGGCAGGGACGCTTGCCTTGTTGTCTTGGTGTACCGCGCCCCCAACTCAACAGCCGAAACCGAATACCGCCTGGCGGCTGCTTTAAGATGCAGTTTACAACAAAAGTACACTCACATTCTTATCAAGGGTGATTACAAGGCACATCGTTTAGAAACTCCCGCCACGATCGGAGAACAAATCAAAGCTGATCTACAAGATCTAGTAATTACTGTTCCTCTTTACAATCACATCACTTTGCCCACTCGGTTCAGAACTGGTAACAGGCCATCTGTGCTGGATCTTGTGCTTACCAACAAGGAGCATATGGTTGATATTTTGGTTGTAGTCTGCTCGTTTGGTCACAGTGAGCATGCCGTGATCAGTTTCAACTTCGTCTGCTATGCAGAAAATCTGAATGATAACGATGAGACTATGCGAAACATCAAAATCTAGGATCTATTAGCCCACTTCGTCAGCGCCCCAACTTGGTCGTTCCTTGAAGAATAACGCCCGGAAATTGCCTGTCTCGAGTTCATCAAAACATTCAGTCAGCTGATTGCAAAGGCTGCAGAGACAAAGGCTTGCAATAAGTGTAAATCAGTTGCTTTTCTTAGGAGCAGGACTAGAAAATGGATGACAGTACGCAAGACAGCATGACGAGGGTACTTAGATGCCCCAACGCAAGAAACTTGGGACAACCACGTAGCCCAACGTAACCACTGCACACAACTGTTAAGCAAAGATAAAGCTGCCTATCAGCAGAACATCGCAAAAACCTTTATTCATAACCCCAAACTGCTATACAAGCACGGTAATAGCCTACGAAATGCGAGGCAATGGTTTCCTCCACTCAGGACGGCTGATGGTCCAACAAGAACGGCTGTGGAAGCAGCAAACGCGCTGCAGATGCAATACGCCCCCAAGTTTCAAAGGGTCTTGCCACCAAGCGATCTAGTAAGGTGTGTCTTCTCCTTGCCAGGACTAACCCTCATCACTTTTACCGAGGAGGATATATTGTAAAAGCTGACTTCTCTACGCAAACACAGCTCGCCGAGTGTCGAGACCATTCGTCCAGAGGCACTGGAAGCAGCAACAAGCCAATTGGCCGGAC